CCCCTCCCTTCGCGCTCGCAGGATAACGTCGTAAGCAACTAGCACCCGCGCCCTGGTGACCAAATAGCTCGCGCAATGGCGCGAGCTATTTGGTCGCAGGGGCGAAACATCTTTGTTTTTTTTCAACGTTTAAAACACGTTTTCAGGGCCAGTGTTCTGCGCCCACAGGCCTGTGCTGGTAGCGTAATCGTGGCCCTATACCCCGCCTGGATTTAAAAATGGTTCAAAAAGACTGCGCTGGTAACGTAATCGTGGCCCCACAACCCACCTGCACTTTAAAACGGCTATATTAACCTCTAGGGCCCTCACCCTACGAGCACGAAGGGACATGCGACAAACTTCTGGCGCCCTCACAAGACGCTATGCAGGAAGGGAGGGGACATACGACAAACCTCTAAGGGATATGTTTTTGCTTCTACAGTGTTCTGAAAGTGCAAATGTTAGCAAAAGCAGAGGATGTGTTTTGCGCTTGTACACGCTATGGAGCCGCGATTACGCTGCCAGCACACAAGCGATTAACATCTCTCTCTTTACTTAAACCACCATATTCTAGGGGCTGTGAAACCTTTTCGCAGAGCAAGAAGAGTTGGGTAAACACCATGCTTGCTCTGCGAAAAGGTTCTATACAAGCGCAAAGAACATCCTATGTTTTTCCTGATGTTGCACTTTCAGAGCACTGTAGAAGTAAAACATATCCCTGAGAGGTTTGTCGGATGTCCCCTCCCTTCGTGCTCGTAAGGCTTGGTGAGGGCCCGAGAATTTTGTCGCATGTCCCTCCCTTCGTGCTCGTACCCCTCGAGGCTAGGCCTCAAAGCCATGGAACCATGACTTGCTTGAAGGGCCCTGCGTGCGCGGTTGGAAGGTTTCAGAGAGGCGCCTTGGCTGGTCTGCATGCAACAAGACTGAGCGTGTTCAACGAACATCCTGCTTTTGGGGGCCGAGCGTACTCAAATAGCAACCACCTTTTGGGGACCGCACTTTCAGAACACTGTAGACATGCAAACATATCCCGTAGAGCTTTGTCGGATGTCCCCTCCCTTTGTGCTCGTCGGGTTTGGTCGAAGTCTGTCGTATGTCCCCTCCCTTCGCGCTCGCAGGATAACGTCGTAAGCAACTAGCACCCCTTCTGCGCCCTGATGACCAAATAGCTGGCGCAATGGCGCGAGCTATTTGGTCGCAGGGGCGAAACATCTATGGTTTTTTTCAACGTTTAAAACACGTTTTCAGGGCTAGCGTTCTGCGCCCACAGGCCTCTGCTGGTAGCGTAATCGTGGCCATATAGCCCGCCTGCATTTAAAAATGGTTCAAAAAGACTGCGCTGGTAACGTAATCGTGGCCCCACAACCCACCTGCACTTTAAAACGGCTATATTAACCTCTAGGGCCCTCACCCTACGAGCGCGAAGGGAAATGCGACAAACTTCTGGCGCCCTCACCAGACCCTAGGCAGGAAGGGAGGGGACATACGACAAACCTCTAAGGGATATGTTTTTGCTTCTACAGTGTTCTGAAAGTGCAAACGTTAGGAAAAGCATAGGATGTGTGTTGCGCTTGTACACGCTATGGAGCCGCGATTACGCTGCCAGCACACAAGCGATTAACATCTCTCTCTTTACATAAGCCACCATATTCTAGGGGCTGCGAAACCTTTTCGCAGAGCAAGAAGAGTTGGGTAAACACCATGCTTGCTCTGCGAAAAGGTTCTATACAAGCGCAAAGAACATCCTATGTTTTTCCTGATGTTGCACTTTCAGAGCACTGTAGAAGTAAAACATATCCCTGAGAGGTTTGTCGGATGTCCCCTCCCTTCGTGCTCGTAAGGCTTGGTGAGGGCCCGAGAATTTTGTCGCATGTCCCTCCCTTCGTGCTCGTACCCCTCGAGGCTAGGCCTCAAAGCCATGGAACCATGACTTCCTTGAAGGGCCCTGCGTGCGCGGTTGGAAGGTTTCAGAGAGGCGCCTTGGTTGGTCTGCGTGCAACAAGACTGAGCGTGTTCAACCATGCAAACATATCCCGTAGAGCTTTGTCGGATGTCCCCTCCCTTTGTGCTCGTCGGGTTTGGTCGAAGTCTGTCGTATGTCCCCTCCCTTCGCGCTCGCAGGATAACGTCGTAAGCAACTAGCACCCGCGCCCTGATGACCAAATAGCTCGCGCAATGGCGCGAGCTATTTGGTCGCAGGGGCGAAACACCTATGGTTTTTTTCAACGTTTAAAACACGTTTTCAGGGCTAGTGTTCTGCGCCCACAGGCCTCTGCTGGTAGCGTAATCGTGGCCCTATACCCCGCCTGCATTTAAAAATGGTTCAAAAAGACTGCGCTGGTAACGTAATCGTGGCCCCACAACCCACCTGCACTTTAAAACGGCTATATTAACCTCTAGGGCCCTCACCCTACGAGCACGAAGGGACATGCGACAAACTTCTGGCGCCCTCACAAGACCCTATGCAGGAAGGGAGGGGACATACGACAAACCTCTAAGGGATATGTTTTTGCTTCTACAGTGTTCTGAAAGTGCAAATGTTAGCAAAAGCAGAGGATGTGTTTTGCGCTTGTACACGCTATGGAGCCGCGATTACGCTGCCAGCACACAAGCGATTAACATCTCTCTCTTTACTTAAGCCACCATATTCTAGGGGCTGTGAAACCTTTTCGCAGAGCAAGAAGAGTTGGGTAAACACCATGCTTGCTCTGCGAAAAGGTTCTATACAAGCGCACAGAACATCCTTATGTTTTTCCTGATGTTGCACTTTCAGAGCACTGTAGAAGTAAAACATATCCCTGAGAGGTTTGTCGGATGTCCCCTCCCTTCGTGCTCGTAAGGCTTGGTGAGGGCCCGAGAATTTTGTCGCATGTCCCTCCCTTCGTGCTCGTACCCCTCGAGGCTAGGCCTCAAAGCCATGGAACCATGACTTGCTTGAAGGGCCCTGCGTGCGCGGTTGGAAGGTTTCAGAGAGGCGCCTTGGTTGGTCTGCGTGCAACAAGACTGAGCGTGTTCAACTAACATCCTGCTTTTGGGGGCCGAGCGTACTCAAATAGCAACCACCTTTTGGGGACCGCACTTTCAGAACACTGTAGAAAAACAAACATATCCCGTAGAGCTTTGTCGGATGTCCCCTCCCTTTGTGCTCGTCGGGTTTGGTCGAAGTCTGTCGTATGTCCCCTCCCTTCGCGCTCGCAGGATAACGTCGTAAGCAACTAGCACCCCTTCTGCGCCCTGATGACCAAATAGCTCGCGCCATGGCGCGAGCTATTTGGTCGCAGGGGCGAAACATCTATGGTTTTTTCAACGTTATAACAGATTTTCAGGGCTAGCGTTCTGCGCCCACAGGCCTGTGCTGGTAGCGTGATCGTGGCCCTATAGCCCATTCATTTAAAATGGTTCAAAAAGACTGCGCTGGTAACGTAATCGTGGCCCCACAACCCGCCTGCACTTTAAAACGGCTATATTAACCTCTAGGGGACATGCGACAAACTTCTGGCGCCCTCACAAGACCCTATGCAGGAAGGGAGGGGACATACGACAAACCTTTAAGGGATATGTTTTTGCTTCTACAGTGTTCTGAAGGTGCAAATGTTAAGAAAAGCAAAAGATGTGTTTGCGCTTGTACACGCTATGGAGCCGCGATTACGCTACCAGCACACAAGCGATTAACATCTCTCTCTCTCTGTTTACTTAAACCACCATATTGTGTGAAACCTTTTCGCAAAGCAAGAAGAGCTGGGTAAACACCATGCTTGCTCTGCGAAAAGGTTCTATACAAGCGCAAAGAACATCCTTATGTTTTTCCTGATGTTGCACTTTCAGAGCACTGTAGAAGTAAAACATATCCCTGAGAGGTTTGTCGGATGTCCCCTCCCTTCGTGCTCGTAAGGCTTGGTGAGGGCCCGAGAATTTTGTCGCATGTCCCTCCCTTCGTGCTCGTACCCCTCGAGGCTAGGCCTCAAAGCCATGGAACCATGACTTGCTTGAAGGGCCCTGCGTGCGCGGTTGGAAGGTTTCAGAGAGGCGCCTTGGTTGGTCTGCGTGCAACAAGACTGAGCGTGTTCAACTAACATCCTGCTTTTGGGGGCCGAGCGTACTGAAATAGCAACCACCTTTTGGGGACCGCACTTTCAGAACATTGTAGAAATACAAACATATCCCGTAGAGCTTTGTCGGATGTCCCCTCCCTTTGTGCTCGTCGGGTTTGTCGAAGTCTGTCGTATGTCCCCTCCCTTCGCGCTCGCAGGATAACGTCGTAAGCAACTAGCACCCGCGCCCTGATGACCAAATAGCTCGCACAATGGCGCGAGCTATTTGGTCGCAGGGGCGAAACATCTATGGTTTTTTTAAACGTTTAAAACACGTTTTCAGGGCTAGTGTTCTGCGCCCACAGGCCTGTGCTGGTAGCGTAATCGTGGCCCTATAGCCCGCCTGCATTTAAAATGGTTCAAAAAGACTGCGCTGGTAACGTAATCGTGGCCCCTGCACTTTAAAACGGCTATATTAACCTCTAGGGCCCTCACCCTATGAGCACGAAGGGACATGCGACAAACTTCTGGCGCCCTCACAAGACCCTAGGCAGGAAGGGAGGGGACATACGACAAACCTCTAAGGAAAATGTTTTTGCTTCTACGGTGTTCTGAAAGTGCAAATGTTAGGAAAAGCATAGGATGTGTTTTCGCTATGGAGCCGCGATTACGCTACCAGCACACAAGCGATTAACATCTCTCTCTTTACTTAAACCACCATATTCTGGGGGCTGTGAAACCTTTTCGCAGAGCAAGAAGAGTTGGGTAAACACCATGCTTGCTCTGCGAAAAGGTTCTATACAGTAGGGCCTGCACATTGCTGCGTGCGTTTTTAACATGCGTTTCGGACTTGAAGGACCTGGAGTGCCCTTGCACCGGTCCTCTGCGGTTGTTTTAAAAGGTAGAAACGAACAGCGCCTGACACTGCAACACCACGGCATACATGCCGTGGGCAGACGTGGACCTGCCAAGGTGAAGACTCGTATCAAATCACAGTAGACTAGATAGAAGCCCCCATTTGAGATACACCACAGCAGCAGCGCACGCGCCAACGGCGAGAAGCCCGGCGAAACAGCCGCTGAACGGATTTGACCCCGTCACATGATCAAAGTTGGTGGGCTTCATGTGGTCAGTGCCATACCACCCGGCCCATTCCACTTGCTGTGCTGCAGCTGCCGCACCACCGGATGCGCGGGATGATTTCATCAGCTTCTGAGCCGCTTCTGTGTATGAAGGGGTTTTCATGACCTTGGTCACTGCTGCGTAGACGGTGCCCTCCGTCATCCAGCCTTCTTTGTAGGGATTCGGTGCGCCACCAACTCTCGTCGGGACCCTGCCGATGGGCTCCACCACGCCCCGCTCCTTCAAGAGGGACGCGTTGATCGGCTGGTCACCAAAAAAAGGAATGGCCACGATTGGCTTCCCAGCAGTCAAAGTTTCCAAGGTGCCACCCCACCCACAATGAGTAATCACCACCTTGATGGCAGGGTCTTGCAGCAACTCAGCCTGGGGCGTCCACTTGCTGATGAAGAAGTCTGGGTCATCCTTGTTGGGCAGGAGCTTTTGCATCTCCTCCTTCAAGCTCCAAACGACTGGAAACTTGGTTCGCTTGAGGCCATGGTACCGAGCCCGCACCTGCCAGTCGAAGAGCTTCACCTGGCTTCCTGTGGTCACGTACACCACACCAGCACCGCCCTCACTCGCACGGAGGAACTTGTAAAGCTCCCCATGGTCTTTGGCTAACTTCTCTCGCAGGTCAGCTGCTGGTGGTAGAACGGGGCCAGTCACGACGATATTGGGGTACACCGGGGTTGTCTGGTCAAGTCCCCAAACAGTCTGCACCAGCACAATCGCACCTCTGCCAACATGATGACGCATCTTTGATCCCAAGGTGCGGAAAGACTTCAGATTTAGAAATCTGGCAAGAGCCATAATACTCAGGCGCTGCCGCGCGATGTGCAACCCGAGGAAATTGACGGCAGTTGATGGATCGGCCATTCCCATGAAGACATGGGCTCCTGTTAGAGGGCCTGGAATATTAATCACCAGAGGGATGTTCATCTCCTCAGCCATCGCAGCTCCTGCCGGCGAAGCGAAGTCCGCTAGCACCACATCTGGCCTGCCTAGGGAAGGGATAAGGATGGCATTACGCACACTTCTCAAGGGCTGGCCAGTACGTCACAGGTATATGCGTACATACATACATACATACACACATACACACATAAACAACCACAAGTAACAGATGTCAAAATGTGCCAGGGCACTCTTTGAAAACTCACTCCTCAACGCCGGCGACATGATCTCTTCCCAGAGCAAGAACTGAATCGTGCCTATCTTATTTGCCTTCTCCTTGACGCCCTCTTCAGTGTTGCCTTGCGAGTCCAGAGGGACGAACTCCGATCCGCTTTTCCGAGTCAACTTCTCAGTGTTCTCTTTGTCGAAGTCCGGCATGTACACCTTGACTTTGTGCCCTCGTTTGGAGAGCTCGGTGCAAATGTTCAGGATGGGAAGCAAATGCCCCGTTCCCTGGGCGCAAACCGCTGCGATGGAAAGACCAGGACCCGACTGTCGGGCCAGTTCCTCCATTGCACCGGGAGCAGATGGGCTGGAATCACTGAGTTGCACTTGAGCAAAATGCTGCCATATGGAACGATGCCGATCGTGGCTCGCGATATAAAGGCCAGAAGGTACCGCCATCTGCACAACATGATGCTTCATCATCGCTGTCAAGCCTCATCACTGCTCCGACATTCATCAGCGCACAATGCGCGCACCAGGTTTTGCCAGTTGCCAAGTACCTGAAGTCTTGATGATAGGTTTGTCGCTCCGTTCAGGTTAGCATGGCTTCCAATCAATGTCTGGGGCTAACAGCTCGAAGCTCGAAGGCCAAACACGAAACAAGCATCAGCCAGGAAAATCCAAATACAACATTCCACTCTGACTTTCAAAGCTGAGTGCTGCCGGGGCTCTCAAACGCGAATCTAGCATCCTTCCCATAGCACCTGAACTGACGATAGCTAAGTGGTGCACAATGGGCAGGGTTGCATCTGCACATGCGGTGCATATCTAAGATGGCGTCCGGGCCCAGGGCACATAGGCCGAACTCTGCGACTGCTAGCGCGGTGGAGGCCCATCTCCTTCCTTCAAGGCCTGCAAGCAGAAAGGTGGCATTTTGATGCTGCAAGGCAGCTGCCTTCCACACTTGTGCAACTTGGCGTGGGCCTTGTAGTATGTGCCTGGCCGTTGGCGCATGCCAATCCGAGACAGATCCGAGTGTGATGACAGGTTGGGCAGTCTAAAACCCTGTAACCCGATGACCCTATCACCTAAACACCCTAAACCCTAAACTAAACCCTAAACCCACCGCCGCCGCCACCCACACAGCTCGACCATGGCGTGCCCACCAGCGAATGCCCATCTCAAAGTTTAGGTCTTTTTTGCCACCCGCCCAGCAGACCCCCTCTGGGATCACTCCGCAGGGAACAGTCGTGGTTTCGTGTTGACATGGCCCCAACTGCCCTCGTGGGCAATACCCGGGAAGCTCTCCAGACCGGGTCCTTCAGCCCACCCGGCAACCGCTTGTTAAGCAGTCCGTGGTCTGGCACCCTCAAACTTTAAACACTGTGAAATGGAGTCTCAGGCTTTCCACTGTTCGTCTCTTGTTATAACCTGCCCCAAGCGGGTTTGGGTTTGGGTTTGGGGTTAAGGGTTCAGGGTGACGGGTGTTTAAGAACTTCGTTTTCCCAACATCTCAGGAGTTGTGGTCAGTCTGCTCACTCTAGCCTTGGAGATTTGCCAGTCACTGCATGGTCCGGCGTGCTGGTGTGGGAAAGTCAGCTTTTGTCAGTTTAGGTTTCGGGCTTAGGGTTGCACGGCACAGGCTCTTCCACACTGAGGCAAATGTAACTGGACGGACCGATCACAAGCGCGGGTCACCATGACGATGGCCCACTTCAAACAGCTATTTGTTTGGCCCTCGATGTCCTCCGTTTGTGTTAAAGAAATTGGCCTTCCACATGGACAACTTCTAAGAGTACTGGGACCAAAGTACATATGTGGTTGTCAACATAGCGACGAAATACCGTCGGTATTGTTTTTGTTTGCCTCGGGGTACTCGCCTCACATGGCGCAGCTCCTCCATACAAAAAAAATAACAGAGTATGACGATGAAACGCCACCACGTTTAGCCTTATGTCATCGGAGCCCGCTGTTTCTGCTGCAGCTTTACATGGCACTTTCCTTCCAGACTGACATCCTTGACAGACCCAAGAAGAAATCAAGACACTCAGAACACCAAACTCGAAACCCGAAGCCCTTTGTCGAAACCCTGCAAGGCCCTAAGAGGGCCCCTGACCTCCATTCTGTCCGCGGCAGCCATGCCGTGCGAGCAACCATGCTAGAGCATGTTGAACCCTTTTTGTTGCTCGGGTTTCAGGGTCTTAGGGCAAGTGCTTAAAGAACTTTCGGCAGGCTGTAGGCTTCGAGTTGCAAAAGAGGTTTGGGGAGCTCATGTATCTGAGAGAAAAAGGCATGTCGCTTATCTGGTTTCGGGCTTCGGGTTTGAAATGTCACCCTAGAATCTTAAACCCTAAACCCTAAACTTTGCCCACAACCCTAAACCCCAAATCCCCTCTGAAGCACCTCCAAACCTCGGTCTTGGCAGCCTAAGCTCGGGGATGCAACGGCGGCGCCCTTCGACAGCCGTGACGTCCATGCTTCAGGGTTTAGGGAGTTTAGGGTTCAGGGTTTAGGGAGGACACCTACATTGAGGTGGGTGTTTGCAAACTTTGGGTCGTTCTTAATACCATGTGCGAGGTGAGTTCGCCTTGAGAAAAAAACCAAACCTCCCCGAATCCCTGACAGGGCCAGTGCTTTGAAAGGCATGCCCAACTGCCCAGGCGTATACTCTTCCCTGCAGGCAATCGTTGCAGGCAAACATCGGTCTGCACGCATGTTGACGTGGAGAAGGCTCAGGATGCTTAGAGCTTTGGCTCGCAAAAACTCACAAATCAAGCTATGGCAGCTATGGGGCTAGGAAAGCGACGCATCAAACCACTCTTGCATAGTTTTGGAACAGAGTTCGGCCCTTCCAAGAGCTTGGTTCCTGCTATAGATAGTATACTGTATAGCAAACTTCACTCGGAATCTTCGGGGCGCAAAGGCAGCTGCTCGTACATCGTAGAGTATAGTACAGCATCGTGCACCGTGTAGTCTTGTAAAGTAAACAAAGTATATAGATGGAATGGCCCAGGAGAGCTCCTCGTCATACCAACCGCCGTCATACATTTCGGTCATGATTGTTGATTGTTGGTAGTTGTGTAGGCGTGGGCGTGCGAATTTCGGGACGTTCGCCCAGCACTTCAGATATCTACGTAATGACATTTGTTAATTGTAGATTGCTGCATGTTCACTGGCACAGAAGGATGGGATAACGGACCACAGGCAAGAAATCACAGAGGCATTTTGATGCGTTGCGACGGCCCCGCCGAAGGTGCAGAGCATTCGATGGGCAGGTTGTCTGCCTGGCCTTTGCCAAGGCATGCCTTGTACAACGCAAGTCAGGCGCAGCGACTTGAAACATGGCCTCGCTACCACTTCGCAGGGAAAGGGGTCCGGATCGTGGGCTTGCATGGCCAAATATGACATGCTGGCTTCAACCCTAAACCCTAACCCAAGTGGAACCCAAGAGGTTGAAAGAGTATAAAGCAAGCCCAAGGTCTACATGGTTCAGACTTGCAGAAATTGGAGCCCTCATTCCCAAACGTGGTGTGGCATGTTGCCGAGAACGCGAAGCAGGGAAGCCCGTCTTCACGTAAGACACCGGCTCGGCCAGCACACTTTCAGTGAAACGCAACTTGGTCAAGCGGCTGATAGGTAGGGGGAGACGTATCCTGGCGAAGAGGCAGCTACAGCTACATTGCTCACCCCCTCCGTACGCTGCGAGAATGTACGAAACCCGCCCGGTGAAACTGCCGCTGGGTCTCTAAAAGGCAGGCTTTGGACACCCGCTGAGTTCCCAATCACCTCGATCCAGCGCCCGGTATTTGCACTGGTTTGTGAAGGGCCCCCCGTCCCAGCCGTGTCTGGTCTGCAGCTACACTTGCATAAGTCAGCATCAGCATAAGGCTCTTTGTCAAGTTACCCAAGTCGTGAGAAGGAAACGGGAGATTCTCGAAGGCTAGGATGCCGGGCCATCTCGGCTTCTCCCGCGTATCCTTTCAAGACCCACGGCAACATGGAACTGCTCGAACTACACGTGAACGACATCCATGGAGGGCCAATGCCTTCCGGATGGGCGTCATCGCGGAAGCCTGAGGTCAATCAACGTCTGCAAGCAGCCGCAGAAGAACTCAAACAGATCTTGAACTGACCCTATAAACCCTTTTTGCATCAGGACTTGAAACCCTAACCCCTGAAAACCTTACCGCGTCAGCATCCCATGATGTCCTGTGTCTTATGTCGTCATGCGGTGACTGAGAGCTTGGCAGGCCGGATGTGCAAGCGGTTGAAGGCCGGGGCCCAGGAATCCATCTCGCCAAAGGCTGCGGCTGCCAACAAAGGGGGTTTAGGGCTTAGGGCTTAGGGCTTAGGGCTTAGGGCTTAGGGCTTAGGGCTTAGGGTTTAGGGTTTAGGGTTTAAGGTTCAGGGTTTAGGGTTTAAGGTTTAGGGTTTAGGGTTTAGGGTTTAGGGTTTAGTGTTTAGGGTTTTGGGTTTTGGGTTTAGGGTTTAGGGTTTAGGCAGTACGTACTGCTTGCTTAAAAACCCCCAAAGAACAAACAAACATAACCCTATGTTACCCTTATGAGGAAGAACATTTTGTATTTGGCGGGCAGCCACAGAGCTAGATTCGAGATGCAAGCTTGAGCTCAGACTGCCAGCTGCAGAGGCCGGAGGCTCCACAAAACGCTTTTTTGCCTTCTACAGCAGAAGGGCTCCACTGGACTGGATAAAGCCAAACGGCACACAAGCCCCACGAGAATGACACATTTTTGGCCTGTTAATGGCCACGAAGGGCAGAGTGGCTAAGTTAGCAGGTTCCTTGCCAAAACCGCAAAAATCAAACGCAGAGACTCACGATTTGCTATCGCCACCCGTTCGCCGCCGTTTCAAAGGCTGAAAG